ACCCCCAAATCCTCACTGTCCCCCCCAGGCAAGCGGCGATACAACATCAAGCTCTGGAAGACCTTCACCGACTGCTTCAACTGTTTGCCCATCGCCGCCATCGTGGACGAGAAGATCTTCTGCTGCCACGGAGGTGGGAAAAAAACCCCCTTTCCCAGGGATCTGGGGAGGGGCTGTGGAGGGCCGGGATCTCCGTGCTGAGCTCCAGGGGCTCCCCTTCCCCGCAGGGCTGTCCCCAGACCTGCAGTCGATGGAGCAGATCCGGCGGATCATGCGGCCCACGGACGTCCCGGATCAGGGGCTGCTCTGCGACCTGCTCTGGTCCGACCCCGACAAGGACGTGCAGGGCTGGGGGGAGAACGACCGCGGCGTCTCCTTCACCTTCGGGGCCGAGGTGGTGGCCAAGTTCCTGCACAAGCACGACCTGGATCTCATCTGCCGGGCACACCAGGTACCTCCGGGACCCCCAAAATATTGGGGAGGGACCCTGGAGTGGGGCTTTGGGTGCCCAGTGGGGTTCGGGTGTAGGGCAGGCGTGTGTACCCCGAGGATTTGCCCCCCAGGGGCGGCGTGTGCTCCAGGGGTGGGTCCTGAGGGGGTGTTTGCCCACCCCAGAGGAGGTGTTTGACTCTGGGGGGTTGTTGTGAGTGTGTAGGCAGGATTTCGGGAGGATTTGCTCTGGGATTTGGGTATTTATCCTAGAGGGGTGAGGTTTTACCCCAGGATTTGGGCATTTGCCTGGAGGTGGATATTGGCCCCAGGGGGGAGGATTTACCTGACACTGACCCTGGGGGGGTGAGCATTTGCCCCGTGAGGGTCAAAATTTGCCCCAGGGGAGTGAGATTCACCCCAGGGGGGACAATATTTGCCCTGGGAGCCTGGATGTCTGGCCCTGGGGGTGGATATTTTACTCCAGGGAAGTGGGAATTTGCCCTGAGTGGGCGGGTATTGACCCCAGGGGAGTGGATATTCAGGAGGGGAATATTTGCCACAGGGGGGTGGGTATTTGCCCATGAGGTCCCAGGGGGGTGGTTTATTTGCCTGGGGGGGTGGTTATCTGCCCCAGGGGTGCTCACTGCGTGCCCCCCTCGTGCAGGTGGTGGAGGATGGCTATGAGTTCTTCGCCAAGCGCCAGCTCGTCACCCTGTTCTCAGCCCCCAACTACTGCGGCGAGTTCGACAACGCGGGCGCCATGATGAGCGTGGACGAGACCCTCATGTGCTCCTTCCAGGTGGGCTGGGCCAGGGGCAGGACACCCCCAATTCCTGCTGGAGGGGCTGGAGGGAGAGCGGAGGGCACCGAGGTGTTCTGCCCTGGAGGCAGGAGGGGAGCGGGGAGCTGGGGCAGGACGGTGTGAAAGCCCCTTCCTCGCCCATTTCTCTCCCACCCCTCGTGCATTTCTCTCCCTCC